CCAAGATCGTGGGCGCGGGGCGGAAATACAGCTTTCGCGCTGCGCCCGTGGCGGAGGTGGCCGCCAGCGGGGGCCATCGCTCTATGGGCGTTAGCGGGCGCGGCACCGATTGCTCTCTGGCGGGGGGTGGAAGGCGGTGCTGGGGCCGGGGCAGAGGCGAGGTCGGGCCGAGGTGCTCCTTGCCTGGTCCCAACCAGTCGTGCTCGAGCCCCGCCCGCTCGAGCGGGCGAGACTGGGCCTGGGCCTGGGGCGGGAGCCGGCCATGTGGCTGGTCCATGTGCTCGGCCCGGGCCGCGGGGGGCGCAGCCATCTGCATCGGCCCCCTGGGGGTGGGGGTCCCTGCTGCCTCACTTGTTTATTGTGGGCTTTTTTTTCCCCTCTCTTAATTTCTTTTTTTTTGTCCTTAATTTTCTGATTTTTGGAGCTCGGGAAAGGTGCCCAGGGGCTGCTTCATTACAGCTCCAACTTAAAATCAGTCAACTTAAATTTTGTCAGGCTTTACTTTGAAGGCATCCTAGCGTTACTTCAGTTTACTCCTGTGTCATCTCACATTGAACTTGCCAAAATCTGCCATCCAGAGCAAATATGGATCTGGCTTTCTTAAATATTTGTAGATATTCCACATGGCCAAAGCATCTCTTCTTCTTTGATGGACAGTTTCTTGGGGAAGGTGGGGGAGTATTCCTACTGGATAGGTGGAAGGCAGAAATCAAGAGACCTACATGCACACCCTTTGAAAGCTATTAGCTGAACTTTCCCCATGACAAGTGCCTTAAACACTACTCAGCCTCTTCTGAGTGTGCATTTCCCTAAATAGATGAACAAGTAACTGTCGGCCTCATGCTCTGTCCACTACCTCATCTCCCCCGCCCCCTCCCCGTATTTATAGAAGTAGCAAGCTTATTTGTTCACAACATCATATGATCATGGAGCCATAGCATTGCAATTAAGCTTGGGTATTACAAATTGTTATAGATCTAAATGAAGGTTTGGAACTAGGAGAAATGCACCTACTTGTACCTATCAGTATTCTTAAGGACTTTTTTTTTCCAAGTGGAAATACTTTCACCACTACGTAGTGTATGGTGTGTGAGGCTTCTGGTTTGCTGGGAGAGTGAATTTATAACTAGGGTAATAAAAGGTTTATATCTCTTACACTCTGGCCCTTATCAACGTCTTTCTAAACTTCTGTTGCCTGTCTGCAGTTGGACCAAGAGATTTTTTTTTCCTTGCCTATGGAGCTTGGTGCACTTAAATGAGATGTGGATTCTTCTGAGAGAGTGATTCTCTTTCACTTTAGACCTCTAGTAAAGTTTTTTTTCATGAGCTTAGTTCCCCATTACTTAATGCCTAAAACAGTGTGGCATTGTCCCAATAAAGTAAGCTCTTCCTGGTAGTCCATTCTGGCCCAGATGGCTGGCCACTGTAAAGAGTATAGTAGAAATGGCTAAGGCCAGAGATGATAACCCATTTTTTTTTCTTTATCAAGTATGCACGTTAGGTGGTATATTAATGTAACTAGATGGGTGTCCATTTGAATACTACCAGTAGCCATTGCTGTCAGTTTAACTAGTACTGAATTCTGTAAAATCGGTGGCTTTCAACCTTTTTGTTTTCACTTGCAGACCCCTTAATTTCAAATAGGGATTTGTACCTCTTTGAATTGTATGTGACTATCCACACTTACTTTTGATCATAGTCACTTTTTTCATTGCCCCCTAAAACATGATCCGTAGACTCCCAGAGGTCTGTGGACCACAGGTTGAAAACCATTGCTTTTAACACAAGGTGTGGAAGTGAATAGTTTTTCTTTATAAATTGTGAGGGGGGCATTGTTTGTTTGCCTCCAACAAGTGACATTCTGGTGGAGCTAAGGAAACCACACTAATGACTGTCTTCTTGCTATTCTTCCCCTAGATTCCCACTTAGAAAGCTTCTGGGGAGGGGTAAATGCAGTGCAGTCTAGCTGATGTATGACTTGGCTGTTAGACTGACTTTTGACCTGTTTATAGCATGTACGTGATGCTGGTTAAGTAGGCTGATCACTAATAGCCTAGTATCTTCACAGCTGACACTTGGCATGTGTGTTGCTTTTAAAGTAACTTCTGGTACTGTTGCATGTATCAGGATTCTTCATTCCCTCTAAACCCTGTTGTAATAAATGAGTTGTTGTTCAGGTATAAGTTACGATATTGGGGGAGTACTTGGGCAGGATTTCCCTTGGAATTCTCTAGGGCTTGGTGTGTTAGACATTGCATACTAAATTGGCAGGAGATAAGCCTTTTCACCAGCATAGTAGTGCATATTGCATCATAAATGGATCTGCCATTGTGTGGTTGAAGGCTGAAGTATTATCAGCATCAGGTAAGTGATGCTGGTATATCAAGGGAAGCATCTAACAGGTATGGCAAAAATAACTACCCTAGTATACTTGCTTCTTAACAGAGGTAGCAAGCATTTCTGCGTTCAGAAGTAATGCTTGTAGTGCCAGAATGATATTCCTGTAGCAGTTCTACTTTGTTCTCTAATCTTATCTATTGTACTCCTGAGTTTTCATATAACTGGAAACTATAGCTAGCACAGAAGGGAACTGTAGGCCAGCTCCAGGAGTCACTAGTGACTGCTCATCCACATTTTTTATATTGTGAGGTAGAATTTTTAGCTAGGGGGTTAGCTGGTTTGCAGCTTGGGGTTGTTGTGTCCTGTCTGTCCTGTTCCCCCCCCTGGTTATTTTTAAATCAATCTTAAATCAAGCATTTTCTCGATTAATTTCAATATTGAAACATTGTAGGGAGAAAATGCTATGTCAACCTAACTGAAGGATGAAGTGTCCAGAAGTATTTGTCATTGTCACTAATGGCTTTCCTGGATCACATGGCTACGACATCGGTCTAATACTACCAGGAGAATTTACTGAGAACTGATCAAGGGTGTTTGCAAGACATGTCTTTAGTTCAGGTTCTAGAAGCAGTTTATCTAGTGCAAACAGAAGTACTAAAATTTTGATAGATTTTGTTTATACTTTTTGTTTCATACTCTAGACTAGTAGTGTTCTTCTCTCTTCTTCCTCCTCCTCTTCTCTCTTCTCTCCCCCCCCCCCCCCCCC